GATCTTTTCGTTTATAAGGATTTCTATAATTAAAACGTCATCACAGACATACAGACAATTTCAGGCCATATATCTATAACAATAATAAACACAAACTCTCAGGGGCGCCTGGGTGGCTCAGTGGGTTAAGCCTCTGCCTTCAGCTCAGGTCATGATCCTGGGGTCCTGGGATCGAGCCCCACATCGGGCTCTCTGCTTGGCAGGAAGCCTACTTCCTCCTCTCTCTGCCTGCCTCTCTGCCTACTGTGATCTCTCTCTGTCAAATAAATAAATAAAATCTTTAAAAAAAAAAACACACACAAACTCTGTACCAGGAATTTTGTTAACCTAGGCCCATGTATCATCTCATTTAATCCTTACAGCAACTCTATAATGTAGATACTATTATTATCTTCATTTTATAGATTAAGGGGGAAAAAGGCTTGGAAAGACTAAATAACTTCTACAAGGTCATACTGCTAATAAATAGCAAAACACACCTTGAATCTAGGCAGTCTGACTCCAGAGGCCATGCTCTCTGCTCTACACATTCTTCTGCTTTACTATGAAACATAAAATTTAAAAAATAAACTGATTGCATTAATTCAATATCGATCAAAATTTACACAAAGGAGACATTTCAAGGAAAAATCAAGAGCATTTCTTTCTTCCCTAATACACATTTAAATTTACATAAACACTAATTGAAAGAAGTTAGAATTTAACCAGATGCCCAATTTATTGCCCATAATCGCATGTGAAAATAAAGATCATATACCTATTCATATGTATGACTGAATATGTTACATATAAATTCAAAACAAATACCAACATATTTCCAAATGCTTTCATCTAGAACGTTATCCCTGCTCACTCAAGGAAAAAAAGGCAGGGGAGGGAGCCTGGGTGGCTCAGATGATTGAGCGTTTGCCTTTGGCTCAGGTCATGATCTCTAGATCCTAGGATGGAGCCCCTGTCAGGTTCCCAGCTCAGCAGGGAATCTGCTTCTTCCTCTCCCTCTGCCTCTCTGTGCTCTCTCCCTCTCTCTCTCTCTCTCATATCAATATAAATAAAATCTTAAAAAAGAAAAAACCTGAAAAAAATGTATTTCAGGTACAACATTCCTCAAGTATACTTAATTCAAACAATGACATAAAAGAAAAAAAATAAGAAATCAACCTTGAAAATTGATGCCACCATAAAAAAAAATTAACAAACAAACCATGTCCCCCAAACCTGGTCATCTTACAGTGTTCTCTCAGTGCACTGTACTACTATCCATCCAGTTACATAAGCCAAAAAGCTAGCAGTGGCACCACCTTCCTCTCCCTCATTCCTCACATCCGGTCTATCACCCACTTCCACCTCCTAAATATCTCTAATCTACCCACTTTATCTTCATCACCATCTTGCCCAAGATATCATCTTTCATCTGGCCTCTCCCTATCTACCCTGCTATCCCTCTTATAAATAGTTTTTCCTCTGTAGAACATCAAGTCCTTTCTTATAGCACTTAAAATAACTGGAACTTTAAATTTCTTTGAACATTTGATTTATGTCTGCCTCTCCAGTTATACAATATGTTCTATGAGGGTAGAAACTGTATTTACTCACCATTTCATCATTGTGACCTAGGAGAGTGCCCAGTTAATAAGTAAATGCTAAATGATTGAATTGATGTCAAAGACTGCAAGTTTATTTATAAAGAGAAAAAAAAATTGGTTATAAGGTCCACCAACCATAAGGAGTACTTTATTTCATCATTTCTAGATCATACATTTACATTTTAACTCTGAAAATAAATACATCTTAGAGTTGATGATCTTTGTTAAATTGGCAATATTTTTTTCTGTTTGTTCACAAAACAAAGATGCATCTTGGAATTTTTTTTTTAAATCTCATTATTTGATGAAATAAGTAAATCAACAACACACCTGGTCCACTCAGTTCAAACCTGGTAATCTAGCCTCCCTTTCTCCTTTGGCCACCGTTCTACTCCCAACATTCAATAATTAACAGAACCTAGTGGTTCTTTCACCAACAGCTATCAAATCCATTCCTTTCTCCCAGTCCCACTATAATACTAGATCTATCTAATTCCTCATTGCTTCATATCTGAACTCCTGTCATAGCTTCATTCATTTAAATATTTGTTTCAAATTCAACCAACACTGAGCACTTGTGTGTACAAGGAACTGAAGATACAAGCAGTCCAGTTACCTGTCCCTCCCTTTCTTTTCTTGCCCCCAAAATTCAGAATTTTCTTCTTTTTATGCCTCAAGCTAGAATCACTTTCCTCCCATTTCCACCTACCAAACCTAGTCACTACTTTAGTTCTAGATTAAATCTCATCTTCTTCATTAAATCTTTCCTAGTTTATTTCTCTTTTCAACTTTAACATTCTAAAACACATAAAATCTAATACAGCATATTGGTTGTACTTGCTGCTTCTTGAAGGCAAGGTTTACATCCCATACATTCTGCTATACTGTAAGCTTCCCAAGAGCAGGGACTTTTGTGTCTTTTGTTCACTGTTATATCTCCAGCAACAGATAACCTATATCATGTACCAAATAACAGCTACTTCAAAAAATACTTATTGAATTAATGTTCTCTATAGATTCCAGGGTAGAGAACACATCTTTGCAGCTGTGGTAGAGTGGGAAGAGTCAAAATGAACTGGATGACTTAAACTGTTTGAGCTTCAGTTTTTTGATCTGCTAAATGTAAATAATGCTCACCATCTCACTGAGTCGTTATACTGATTAAACGCAATAATGCTTTCACAGCATCTAGTACAGAGCTGAGGACAAGAGGATGCTCTCAATAAATATTCTGATGATTTTTCTTACAATAGTTAAGTAGCAAGACATACTCAATAAATGCTTACAAAATGAATAAAATCTCAGGAAAAATATAAAAAGTTTGTGTAATATCTAGCCTCTTATCATCTATCCTGTCAAGAATTCTATGAGTGAATTAAATCTGAAATATATATTTAGCTCCAAATCATAAGCATGACTGAAACCATTTCTGACTAATTAGGAATAAGTCCAATTTAACAGGGTACAGGTATTAATATTTATATTTTACTGGGGCACCTGGGTGGCTCAGTGGGTTAACCCCCCTGCCTTCGACTCAGGTCATGGTCTCAGGGTCCTGGGATTGAGCCCCTCATCAGGCTCCCAGCTCGGTGGAAAGCCTGCTTCCCTCTCTCTCTCTGCCTGCCTCTCTGCCTACTTGTGATCTCTCTCTCTCTCAAAAAATGAATAAAATCTTTAAAAAAATTTATATTTTATTGACATGTATAGATTATATTTGATGCTTACGGAAGAATGAAGTTTTACTATTAGGATTTCCATAGAGCAATAATCAGAATAAAAGAAAAGCTGCAAACTTATTTGAGTCACACAGTCCCCAAAACGCCAGGAAGTAAAAAAAATTTCTGTCTACAAAATACTAGTGAATAGTATGCAATGTAGTTTTACCAGATTTATCAAAATATATAACAATACACCATAGGGGCGCCTGGGTGGCTCAGTCAGTTAAGTATCTCCCTTAGGCTCAGGTCGTGACCCAGTGGGTCCTGGGATCAATCACAATGCCTGCCTTTCCCTTCTCCCCTCTGCTTGTGCTTTCTCTTGCTATCTCTCTCTTTCTCTCCCTCTCAAATAAATAAATAAAAATTTTAAAAAAATACACAATTACAACAAATAAAATTTTCAACATATTTGCATTCCATTTTACAGAAAAAGAGCATTAGTTAAATGGTTTTCAAACTTTTTTTTACTACATTATATAATTCCTTATATTGGCTACTTTTTTTTTTTTTTTTATTGGCTACTTTTTAACTTTAAATCGTCCCCAAAATTTTACAGAGAATGAACTGATAAATCAATATAGCATGAGATTATTGTACCAATTAGAAACTCTTCCTTGTTCAGGAAAGAAGCTTTATTAATTTGTAAGTTGGAACATACATAGACTTTCCTTTCAAAGCTTTTCCAATCCCTCTGGGTACTTTCAATGACTCATAATCTAATTACAAATCACAAGCAAGCAATAAGGAAAGAGCATTCCCTTGTGTCTATCTGCTCTTAACCGATACAAAATCATTGCAAATTCCACAGGGGACACATGTTCCGACTACGAATAGAGTGGGGAATATCCCACCTAAGTAACTCAGATACAAAGAACCGTAGGACAAGGTATTCTCCTCTAACTATAAGCTAGCAGCCAACCCCTTGTGGGAAAATAATCAACACAAAACAAAAATGCAAGCCAAAGAAATCTTAAGAAATATAAACTCTCTAAGCAGAAGCATGCCGAGTTGACCATTGACGTCTCTCAGATTCACCAGTCATCCTAAGAATGTATTCGAACTTCAACCTATAAAGCCCTTAGATGTGGATGGAGGTGGAAGCGTTGAGGATGAGTGAGAACCCAGTAAAGTGAGTGAACGTTAGTGTATGGACGGAAAGATATTAAGATACTCAGAGCGACTGTGTTAAGGTCCGCAGCAGTAACAAAGGCCAAAAAGGAGGAAAGGTTTTAGGAATGAGAAGATTGACATCTTGAGAATCTAGTTTTTTGTTTTGATTTTCTTTTCTTTTCTTCTTCTTCTTCTTTTTTTTTTTTTTTTTTTTTAATGGGAAAAAGTTAAACAGCTGCGAAAGCTTAGGGGACAAGAGGTCGTATCTCGAACCACCAAGAAAAGCCACAAGGAGAGGGGAACAGCTGCCCACAGGAAGGCTTACGGTTAGCCTTTGGAGCCCAGGAAGAACGGGGGGGTCAGAAGACAAATTACCCTAGAAGGTAGATGAGGGAGGTGCCAAAATTCTCAAGAGAGAGCCTAAACGGTTAGCCACAGGATCTTCAGAGAGGGCAGGGTCCCCCCAAAATCCGGTCATTTGGGGACCAGAAACACTAAGTCCCAACCTTCTCCTGATTCCGCCAGGCTCAAAGCGCCCCTCACCGAAACAGAACTGGAAAAGTGTAAAAAATGTGCAGGAGCCACCAACCCGGGAAATGTTCCAGCTCTAGCAGAAGCCGCCCCAAAAGCAGCCAGTACACACGCAAACGCTCCGACCTCAGCGCCGCTGCCACAGGGACCCGAGCTCCCCGGCCACCGTAGTAAGAGGAAAGGCCTCCCCTTCGAACCGAGTAGGTCAGCCACTTCCGGGGCACGAAAGCCTTTTGATTTGTTGTAGCAATATCTGCAGCCCACAGACCCATGCGCCACCTCATTCTTTTTCCCCACTCTTCGCCACCCCAGCCCTTAGGTCACCAATACGGCAAGCGCAGAGCCAAGGGAAAGTATCACTCTGTATCTGGTGTTTCTGACGGACAATTCACATTATGCCTTCTTTGAGCTCCCACTGGACAAGTGGACTTCAACTCCCAGAGTGCTACGCAACACCATGCCCTCTCCTTTGCGCCGGAACTACAAGACCCAGTATGCACTGCGCCCCCTTCTTCTCGCTCCTCTTGATACCCACAGAGCAGAGAGGTTCTTTCAGAGGAATCACTAAATTCCTTGGACTAATGTAGACCCACTTTGATAAAAATGCCGCTATTCCTTACTGTCTTGTTGTGAAGGTTCCCTAAGCCAAGCTGTAGTTGAGACTGTAGGTAAATACTTACAAAATACTAAGGAACGTGTGCACTTTTTATATTCCCGTTATTTTCAAGGATTGAAACCCAGGACAGTATAAAGCTTTTTTATGAAATGGAAATTTTTATCCACATTCATAAGGGGTATGATAATAAATTATTGCAAAGTGTAATCCTAGATCGTTTTGCAGTACTGAAAGACTGTTGGAGCAAGGACTACCAGACATGATCCTGAACTGCATGAGAAATTATAGTAAGAGCTGGAAGTGAAAAATTAACAATCTGTACTGCCGGACTGTGTACCCACATGGCAAAGGAAATCGTTCAGAATGCCGAGTTGAAAGTTCAAAGTTAAACTTTAAAGTGTTTTTCACTTTTTTAACGTGCTAATAGTTTGGATTATTTTCGTTATTCTTACAAAAACAGGTAATTGGAACTATTTATTTTCTATTATGTGGTAAGGCAACCAATAACCAATCACACAAAGAATATGGCAGGATCATAAATGTAACATTTATTAGTGTGAACAGAACAAAATAACTTTTCTTGCCTCATTAAATAGCCTGTGGTTCCATATTTTAAAATACAGAACTTTGTTTTGATTTCCTAGGACAGATACCATGAATCAAACAAGCTGTCTGGATTCCTTTTTGTTAGTTTCATAAAGATTTACATTACCAGGGAGCCTGGGTGGCTCAGTCGTTAAGCATCTGCCTTCTGCTCAGGTCTTGATTCCAGGGTCCTGGAATGGAGCACCACAACGGGCTCCCTGCTCAGTTGGAAGCCTGTGTCTCCCTCACCCCTGACTGTGTTCCCTCTGTAGCTGTCTCTGTCAAATAAATAAATAAGATCTTTAAAAAAAAAAAAAAAAGATTTACATTACCAAGAATGAATATATTTTATTTTTGATATTGTGCACTAGTAGCCCATGAAAAACAATGCTTGAATTCTTAAATTACATAGTAATTCTACAAAATAAAATTGAAATATACTATAAACATTAGTTTTCTATGGATTTACAGCTAAACAGATTTTAATTGGTTAGAAAAACGAAGTAGAATACTTTCCATTTTTACAATCTCACATAGAAGTCACAGAGGGAAACTGTATTCTGTAACACCGACAAAGCATCCACTACCATACTACAGTGTGCTAAATTATGCAGCACTAGCGAGTAAATATTTAAAATCTATGATCACAGAAAACAAGCTGCTGCTTTCCATACTCATGCAGCAACAATATGAATACAGTGAGAGAAACCTTTCCGTTGGAATGGTTAGAGGTAATGATAAACTATAATTAGGTTATCTGTTATTCATAACTGTTTGCAGTAAATAAATAAATAATTGCATCCACTTATTAAAGATGTTATTAAGGAAGCTTTTAAAATATGCTAAATAATTGATATGCATATTCTAAAGTAGTTCAATGATCAATTGTGTAAATGAAAGTGGAAGAGAGTTAAAAGAGTACATAATTTATGTAACAGACTTTTCAGGTTTTGAAAGGAGATTCTTGGCAGCTGCAATACTCAGCAATATTCTGTCCTCATTTTTAAATGTGTCTTTGACTCTCCAATTCAGCCAATTGCCAAGCACAAGAGAGTTAAAACCGGACAAGATACTCAATTTAGTTCAACAAATACACAATTAGTGCTGCTAGGGACAAAGCACTTTGCTTAGCCGCTACCATCTATGTCTGAAGCACAGATAGTTTTGATAGTTAGGAAAGATTTTAAAGGGTGATGAAAAGAAGATAAGAGAGCTTTATTAGAATGGAAAACAGAAAGTAAACTATGTGTAACATTGCCTACTAACAATCACTTATGCATTTGGTTCATTGGAACCCTAGACTAGCTAATATAACTTCTAAGAGGCGGGAACCACATCTTAAATATGTGTGTCCCTCTCAGCTCTCACACAGCACTTTGTTCAGAGTAACTCCCTCTCCATAAGTGTTTGTGGGAGTTCAGAGTGATGTCTGAGGCCCTGAAACTCCCTTCTTATTCATACTATGTAGTTTTAATATAAGCTATTTTATGTGTTTATTTATTTGACAGAGAGAGAGAGCACAAGCAGGGGGAGCAGCAGGCAGAGAGAGAGGGAAAAGCAGGCTCCCTGCTGAGCAAAAAGCTGGATGTGGGACTCAATCCCAGGACCCTGGAATCACGACCTGAGCCAAAGGCAGATGCTTCACAACTGAGCCACCCAGGCACCCCTATTTTAAGGAAATCTTAAAACCTTTCCTCCTTTCCACATGACCTTATTTCTGTCACCTCTCCTGCATATTCAATCTCTTTCTATTTCTCTACTGCCCTCTGTACCTCAGACTAGCTACAGAATCCTCATAATTTTGAAAGCAAGTTCAGTGGGTTCAGCTTCCCTCCTAAATGCAATATTATTCCCTCCTCCTTTTCATTACATAGCCACATTCAGCAAGTGCAGCAAGGTAAACCTTAGTCTTGAAATGGCACACACGATCTAGTCACAACCTATGTCTACCAAATACCCAGCACTGTGCTAAATCCTGGAAATATGAAGAGACTTCAGATAAGAAAATTATGGTCCCACAATACAATGTAATAAACATTATGATAGAGGTATGGACAAGGTATTAAGAGAATAAAGCATGTCACTTATTCTCAAATTGAGAGACCTTAGAGTAGAAAGTCCTGAGATAACTTAAATGACAAAAATAATTAACCAACTGCAGAAGAAGGTGGCTGAACCAATGGAGAATAACTCATAAATTCATTACAGTTGGAACATGAGAGTGAAGGAGTGGTACGATACAAGGCTGGAAAGACAGACTGGGGCTATTTCCTGAAGGGGACTTGTGTACTATGTTAAGAATCTTGGACTTTAACCAGGTTATATAGGGAACCATTTAGGGAATGGCATAATTAGATTGCATTTTAGCCTGCAGTGGTATGGAGAATGTCTTGGGCTGAAAAGAACAGTTAAGATACTGTTTTCATAATTCACATTTTAAAATGGGAAATCTGAAGTAAATAGTGATATTTTAAAAAGATTTTATTTTTAAGTAATCTCTACGCCCAATGTGGGGCTTGAACTCACAACCTTGAGATCAAGAGTTATTAGGATATTAGGATAATAGAATCAAGAGGAGGTATGAGGGGGGTGAAGGAATCAAGAAAGACCCCCAGGTTTCTGCTTTTCCAATTTTCCATATGTTGAGTTAGGAATGGTTGGGACACCTGGCTGGCTCAGTGAGAAAAGCATGTGGTTCTTGATCTCAGAACTGTGAGTTTGAGCCCCACAATGGGTGTAGAAATTACTTGAAAATAAAATCTTTTTTTAAATTATTTATTTATTTATTTAACAGGCAGAGATCACAGTAGGCAGAGAGGCAGGCAGAGAGAGAGGAGGAAGCAGGCTCCCCGCTGAGCAGAGAGCCAGATGTGGGGCTCGATCCCAGGACCCTGGGAGCATGACCCGAGCCGAAGGCAGAGGCTTTAACCCACTGAGCCACCCAGGCGCCCAAAAATAAAATCTTAAAAAATAAGAAAGAAATGCTTTAGAGTTCCCAGATGGCTATATCCAGGAGACAGTTAGATATGAAGCTTAAGAGAAAACTTTGAGCTCAATATATACTTTTGGGAGTAATTGACTTCAGATGACAATTGAAAAAAACATGGGCATGGATAAGATTTTTTTTTCTTTGAAGATTTATTTATTTATTTATTTATTTGTCAGAGAGAAAGAGAGAGAGCGTGAGCACAAGCAGGGCAAACAGCAGGCACAGAGGAAGAAGCAGGCTCCACACTGAGCAAGGAGCCAATGCAGGACGCCATCCCAGGACTCTGGGATCATGACCTGAGCCACAGACAGATAGATGCCCAATCGACTGAACCACCAGCCATCCCTGGGCATGGATAAGATTGTGAGCTACGTAGATAGGGATATAAGCTTATAATTCAGGAATGAGGTAAGGGAGAGAATGGTATATACAATTGTCTTGAAATCCTTCAAGGAACAGATTTTTACATAAAAGCAGAGGATTTTCAGAATGGAGAGAGAGCTGAACTTGTCTCTGGAACTGGTGTGCATGAATAAATGAGAACAAAACGACAAAAACAATAAAAAAAGAAGTTCAAGAAAGTTGCAGAGAGACCAAATCCAGAGAAAAGTCAGCATTCATTAAGAACAGGAGGTGAGGGACTCCTGGGTGGCTCAGTTGGTTGAGCGGCTGCTTTCGGCTCAGGTATTGATCCCGGCGTGTTGGGATCGAGTCCCACATCGGGCTCCTTGCTCTGCAGGGAGCCTGCTTCTCCCTCTGCCTCTGCCTGCCACTCTGTCTGCTTGTGCTCACTCTCGCTCCTCTCTCTCTCTCTCTGACAAATAAATAAATAAAATCTTTAAAAAAAACATGGAAATGTGTTTTATGTTTTAATGGCAAGTGAAAAAAGCTGGATAAAAAATTATGTTTGTAAAATAATCACAACTCAGGGGGGGTGGGATTATGGACATTGGGGAGGGTATGTGCTATGGTGAGTGCTGTGAAGTGTGTAAACCTGGCGATACACAGACCTGTACCCCTGGGGATAAAAAGATATTATATGTTTATGAAAAATAAAATTAAAAAAAAAATCACAACTCTTTTAAACAAATGAAAAACTACACTTAGAAGAAAAGATATCAAGATATACAGATTAAAATATCAATAGCAGTTGTATTTAGATGATGAAATTTTGAATAATTTTTTTCTTACAGCTTTCTACACTTCACAAATGATTTACAACCTGTATTTTTTTTAAGATTTCATTTATTTATTTGACAGAGAAATAGCACAATTAAGCAGAGTGGCAGGCAGAGGGAAAGAGAGAAGCAGGCTCTCCACTGAGCCA